CACTCAAATCCCCACTAGATCTCATCGTCGGCTATATTTCCGACCCCTCATCGTAGGTTCTGATAAGCTGTTCTCGAGATTTCGAGCAATTTAGGTAAGGCTCAGGGAGGTGCACTCCTGTTAGAGAAAAACGACCTAGTATAAATTTAGAGATTAGGACTATCTAGAATTGCTTTAAAGAGAAGCTAGAATCATTGACGAATCACTTGACCTTCCTTATACAAGATATGCATCGTCTCTCTGTTCTTTTCTCCTCTGGCCAATGAATATCGAAATCTAGTGAATGATTGACGAAAGTTGGCACAAAATAGAGACACGGCCAAGTTTTGACGTTCTAAAAGATAGAGAAGATTAATGTAATCAGAGATTATTGAAATCAAAAGATTATTGTAATCAATAAATACTTAAACGAATCGCATAATTAAAAGCTGAGGAAAGCATTTTATCAACGAAAGATTAGCAAAGGTTAAGCAAAGCAGCAAAGCTAATTTCAAGTCTATCTTTGCTATTCCATTTAGATGATTATCAATAGGTATACAATGAAAAAACAAGATTTAATCACTTCAACAACAAATTTTTCAAATGAAAGATAGAGCTTTGAAGATTCTATCTCTAATGCGAAAAAAATAGCTATTGAAGTGAGCACAAGTCGCTTTTCTGTTGTAAACCTATTGAGAATCATATAAATGAATAGCAAAAGTTAGACTTGACCTTTGCTTAGCCTTTTACTATTCTTTCGTTGATAAGATGCTTATTTTAGCTCTAACTTTTCGTGAATTTAGAGCCTTTTTTTGAGTGAGAATTGCGAGGATTCAAGGTAACAGTTTCTTGGAAAAACTTTGAATGAAACGGATTTAACTAAAGTATTCTTGTTTTTAAGTATTCGTGAAAGCTGTTGTTTGAAAGCTGTCAAATTAAATCAAAGCCAACGTTCAACTAGTTGTTTCAAAGTGAGCAAATCGTTCGCGAGATATTGAATCCATTCCAATTGATGTTCTGGGCTGAAAATCGTGATTTTAAACGTTGAAACTTGGAACAGGATGGCGCTTGGTTTCACGTAGGTAGCCTAACTTTAACTCAAATTTCCTCGGACTTAAAAAAAAGAGCTGGAAATTCTCAAAAAGCTTTCCAAATTGTGCACACTCAGCCGGGTGTGGGTGGGTGTGGGTTCTCAGCCGGTCCTCCCTACTCGACCCCTTTCTGGCAGCCGACGTGCTATGGGGGCGATATAAAGCACAAATTCTTGTTCAGCATCATGGCAGGGCTGGGTCCCGGCCTGAGTCAGAAAAAGACTCGGTAAAATCCCATGGTGCGGCGTGCTTGCGTCGGTTGGAAGGATACACCATGGTAAGGCGCGGCTCCCGGGGTAAACCCTAGCCGAGTGACCCCCCGGCTTCCACCGTGGCACAGGGGAGGCGTAGGGGGGAAAATTACTATCCCCCCTGACTCATTGACAGCAGCAGGGATAGGCAAGAAGTACCCCCTGCCTCCTGGTCAATAATTCCTGTGAAAGTGTGTGTGTATTTTTTGCATTTTTGGCGGCGGCCAATTTTCTTCGCTTCAGTTTTTAGATAGAAGATTAGAAAGAAGAAAGAAAGAAAGGAAATTATTTATTACTCAGCATAATAAATAATTTCATAATAAAAAGGTATTAAAGAAGTTCGCAAAGGTAGAGTAAAGATCTACCGTATTTTCTCTAATAGTAGTGCACCGAGATGCGAGAGCGTCGCCTAAGTTGCTCGAAATCTCGAGAACCTATCGGCTCGGCCCGGTGCACTACTATTGAGAGAAGACGGTAATTACCGTGTTTCTCTATTAGTGCATCCAAAGCCTCGCCTAAATTCCTCGAAATCTCGAGAACCGCTTATCAGCACCTATCGATGTGGGGTCGGAAAATGTAGCTGACGATGAGATCTAGTGGGGGATTAGAGTGTTGAGCTTCTGTGAGAACCTAGAAACGGTAAAATAGTCATCAACTCGGCTGGGTGCACTACAATTAGAGAAAATACGGTAACTTAAAAGTCTAATGTTCCGTTTGGAACATCCCTGGCATCCCTGGCAAAACTCCGGCCCGAATCTGAAGCTGGTGCACTGAATTCACGGCTGTTGTCCCAAAAAGTCTATCTGTAAGTCATCTATCAAGTTTTGAACCTAATTCCATCGCTATTGAATTGCAAATGAGAATCTTCTCAAGGGAATTGACTTTCTATATTCAAATTGTTGATTAAATTTAGATTACAGTACTAAATTTGAAAACACTGGTTCATTTTCAGCTTTGAAACCCAAACCAAGATGTTTTCCTGGGCCCAGCTTTTCACTGGGTTTAATTTGCGCTTTGAAACTCTCAAAAATCAAATCCCAGTCTTTTGGTAGACTTTTTACTCAAAACAAATGATAAATGCTCTATTCAGTTTATCATTTTTCCTTTAAATCGATGATTTCAATATGCCAGAAAGGATGCGTTCACGTTTTTTCCCGCACAAAGCACAGATCTTTTCACAAACCGTTGCTGCTTCCATTCATCGCCTTGATTTCCTTGAGTTGCAACGAAATTCTCGAGAATTCCCCACCAATAAGTGGCATCGAAATGAACGGATTCGTGCGTATTCCTAAAGTTTAAATTTAAATCTAATTTTGCTCATCAATCTCGACAAATTTAAACTCGTCAAATTTCATTTCAAAATCTTTGACGATTCAAATTTTGCTTAAATTTCTTAATTTCTTAATTTTGTTTTGAAACTTTAGCAAGAAAATCTTTATCTTTGCTCGCAAAAATCAAAAGAAAGAAGCAATTATTGAGTTTTTTTTCGTTTTCTATTAAGCAAACCTCGAGAAAAGAAAAAACTTTATTTTTAATCCGAGCTGAAAAGTGGCAACAAAATTTTTCGGAAAAATACCTGCATTGTCGATGCAAAAATGAAAAGTGAACATTGTGAAACCGAAGCAGAATATAAACGAAAGAAGAGAAGTTTTTTTATCAGAGATTCCCTTTTAGCCTTTTCAGAGATTTTAGTAGTTTGGCCTAGTAGGTCTAGTAGGCCTAGTAGGCCTAGTCGTTTGGCCTAGTAGGCCTAGTAAGCTAGTCGTTTGGCCTAGTAGGTCTAGGAGGCCTAGTCGTTTGGCCTAGTAGGTCTAGTAGTAGCTTTTGGCTAGATTAACCTTGGCAGAAACTAGGGTTGGCTTGGTCTAAAGCTTGACCAAATCCTGGCTTGGCTGATATCTCTTCAAAACTCGACAATTTTTAAACTACAAGTTCACCGGAAACCCACCATATATTGCTGACGTGCTTGCAATTTGGCCTTTGCCGAGATTGCGGTGATTTGAGATATTTTTTCCGTGACATCATGTATCATTTCATTGAAACAATCTCTAGAATGAGCTTTTGTTTTCGTTTAAAATTTCTTAGGTTTCTTAAAGTTTCTTTCTTAAGAAAACTGACTCTGATCCAAAGAGTGGATTAACTTCATTTTCCTCCATCTTCTCAATCTCTCTTCTTTCTTGTCGTACAACGAAGAAACACCGTCGCGACCAATTGGAAAAAAGAAGACTTTGATACCAGTGGTATTATTCTCTTCCTTTTACCTAAATTGTAATTGTACTGTGTCGTGTCGCCTGTTTGCATGTGGCTGAAAAATCGAATCAAGCTCTATTTGGTATCATTTGAAAGCCTGAAATGTCCTCTTTACAATGATATAAAAAGTTAACTCTAATCTAATCTCCAGACAAAGTTATAGGGGTTCAAAGTGTGACGATCCGTGCAAAATACTGGAAACAGGAATTCCAATGCAGAGATGACAAAGTTGCATTTTTAAAATCACTTTATTCAACAATTCAATCAAAATTCGAAATTATAGCATCTTTAGCTCTTTTCCATTCGAATAATTCGCACTTTTCTCCTTTTTCTTTCAATTTTTCTGTGTAAACGATGAGTTGATTTTTCTTTGTGAGAATAGCTCATCTTTTTCAAATCTACTCCATCTGGCAATTGATGAGTTTCAGAAAAAAGCGTTCTCATTGACCACTTTGCCTAAAATTCGTTTTTCTTTAAAAGCAAAAAAATTTGCCGCCTCCGGGGATCGAACCAGCACCCTCCGCCTTGGAACCAAGCTCGCTAGCCACTAGGCTACTAAAAACTTTAGCATATTGTTCTAAACTAAATATTTCTAAGTACACTGTGACATCCAGATCCCAAGAATAACATTTTATTTAAGCTGAATTGCATTGTTTTTGGCAAGAAAATGTCTTTGATCGAGATCCACCCATAATATGAAGCTAGAATATAAATTGAGCTAAAATCAAATGTTCTTCTTTTAAGCTGGATATCACAGTAGCTATTTGAAACTCTCAATAATTAAATCCTAGTCTTTTGGTAGACTCTTTACTCAAAACAAATTATAAATGCTCTATTCAGTTTATCATTTTTCTTGTAAATCGATGATTTCAATATGCCAGAAAGGATGCGTTCACGTTTTTTCCCGCACAAAGCACAGATCTTTTCACAAACCGTTGCTGCTTCCATTCATCGCCTTGACTTCCTTGAGTGGCGACGAAATTCTCGAGAATTCCCCACCAATAAGTGGCATTGAAATGAACGGATTCGTGCGTATTCTAAAGTTTAAATTTAAATTTAAATCTAATTTTGCTCATCAATTTAAAACTCGTCAAATTTCACAAAAAATTTCATTTCAAAATCTTTGACGATTCAAATTTTGCTTAAATTTCTTAATTTCTTAATTTTGTTTTGAAATTTTAGCAAGAAAATCTTTATCTTTGCTCGCAAAAATCAAAAGAAAGAAGCAATTATTGAGTTTTTTTTTCGTTTTTTATTAAGCAAACCTCGAGAAAGAAAAAACTTTTTATTTTTTTGAAATATTTTTAATCCGAGCTGAAAAGTGGCAACAAAATTTTTCGAAAAATACCTGCATTGTCGATGCAAAAATGAAAAGTGAACATTGTGAAAACCGAAGCAGAACATCCCTGACTCATCTGTTTACGGACTATCTAGAATTGCTTTAAATTAGTTAGCATCATATTAGTTTACGGTTTCCAAGCTTTTGCAGAAGCCCAACACTCAAATCCCCCACTAGATCTCATCGTCAGCTATATTTCCGACCCCACATCGATAGGTTCTGATAAGCTGTTCTCGAGATTTCGAGCAATTTAGGTAAGGCTCAGGGTGCACTACTATTAGAGAAAAAACGACTAATAAATTTAGAGATTAGGACTATCTAGAATTGCTTTAAAGAAAACTAGAATCATTGACGAATCACTGACCTTTTATATACAAGATATGCATCGTCTCTCTGTTGTTTCTCCTCTGGCCAATGAATATCGAAATCTAGTGAATGATTGACGAAAGTTGGCACAAAATAGAGACGAGCCAAGTTTTGACGTTCTAAAAGATAGAGAAGATTAATGTAATCAAAGATTATTGAAATCAAAGATTATTGTAATCAATAAATACTTAAACGAATCGCATAATCAAAGCTGAGGAAAGCATTTTATCAACGAAAGATTAGCAAAAGGTTAAGCAAAGCAGCAAGCAAATTTCAAGTCTATCTTTTGCTATTCATTTAAATGATTATCAATAGGTATACAATGAAAAAAACAAGATTTAATCACTTCAACAACAAATTTTTCAAATGAAAGATAGAGCTTTGAAGATTCTATCTCTAATGCGAAAAAAAATAGCTATTGAAGTGAGCACAAGTCGCTTTTCTGTTGTAAACCTATTGAGAATCATATAAATGAATAGCAAAAGTTAGACTTGAACTTTGCTTAGCCTTTTACTAACCTTTCGTTGATAAAATGCTTATTTTAGCTCTAACTTTTCGTGAATTTAGAGCCTTTTTTTGAGTGAGAATTGCGAAATTCAAGGTAACAGTTTCTTGGAAAAACTTTGAATGAAACGGATTTAACTAAAGTATTCTTGTTTTTAAGTATTCGTGAAAGCTGTTGTTTGAAAGCCGTCAAATTGAATCAAAGCCAATCAAAAGCCAACGTTCAACTTGTTGTTTCAAAGTGAGCAAATCGTTCGCGAGATATTGAATCCATTCCAATTGATGTTCTGGGCTGAAAATCGTGATTTTAAACGTTGAAACTTGGAACAGGATGGCCCTTGGTTTCACGTAGGTAGCCTAACTTTAACTCAAATTTCCTCGGACTAAAAAAAGAGCTGGAAATTCTCAAAAAGCTTTCCAAATTGTGCACACTCAGCCGGGTGTGGGTGGGTGTGGGTTCTCAGCCGGTCCCTCCTACTCGACCCCTTTCTGGCAGCCGACGTGCTATGGGGCGATATAAAGCACAAATTCTTGTTCAGCATCATGGCAGGGCTGAGTCCCGGCCTGAGTCAGAAAAAGACTCGGTAAAATCCCATGGTGCGGCGTGCTTGCGTCGGTTGGAAGGATACACCATGGTAAGGCGCGGCTCCCGGGGTAAACCCTAGCCGAGTGACCCCCCGGCTTCCACCGTGGCACAGGGCAGGGGGGAAAATTACTATCCCCCCTGACTCATTGACAGCAGCAGGGATAGGCAAGAAGTACCCCCTGCCTCCTGGTCAATAATTCCTGTGAAAGTGTATTTTTTGCATTTTTGCATTGCTCGGCACTCGTGCACTCGGCCGGGTGCACGGGTGCACTATTAGAGAGAAGACGGTAATTGTTTCTCTGTTTCTCTGTTCGTGTTTCTCTATTAGTGCATCCAAAGCCTCGCCTAAATTCCTCGAAATCTCGAGAACCGCTTATCAGCACCTATCGATGTGGGGTCGGAAAATGGACGATGAGATCTAGTGGGGGATTAGGAGTGTTGAGCTTCTGTGAGAACCTAGAAACGGTAAAAATAGTCATCAACTCGGCTCGGCTGGGTGCACTACAATTAGAGAAAATACGGTAACTTATGTTCCGTTTGGAACATCCTGGCAAAACTCCGGCCCGAATCTGAAGCTGGTGCACTGAATTCACGGCTTTTCCCTTCTTTGTCCCAAAGTCTATCAGTCTTGATGACTTAAAAGCCTAAGCCTTGCTGTAAGTCATCTATCAAGTTTTGAAGTTTTTATCTTCCAATTTTTCTTCCAATTCCCGTTTTTCACTCTCTTTTTGATTTTAAAGTCTTCACCAAAGGAGAAAACTTTTCTTTACTGTAATTGAGTTTTCCCGTTTGTAAGTCATCAATCAAGTTTTGAATCTAATTCCATCGCTATTGAATTGCAAATGAGAATCTTCTCAAGGGAATTGACTTTCTATATTCAAATTGTTGATTAAATTTAGATTACAGTACTAAATTTCACAATACTGGTTCATTTTCAGCTTTGAAACCCAAACCAAGATGTTTTCCCAGCAGGGCCCAGCTTTTCACTGGGTTTAATTTGCGCTTTGAAACTCTCAAGAATCAAATCCTAGTCTTTTGGTAGACTCTTTAATCAAAACAAATGATAAATGCTCTATTCAGTTTATCATTTTTCCTTTAAATCGATGATTTCAATATGCCAGAAAGGATGCGTTCACGTTTTTTCCCGCACAAAGCACAGATCTTTTCACAAACCGTTGCTGCTTCCATTCATCGCCTTGATTTCCTTGAGTTGCAACGAAATTCTCGAGAATTCCCCACCAATAAGTGGCATCGAAATGAACGGATTCGTGCGTATTCTAAAGTTTAAATTTAAATCTAATTTTGCTCATCAATCTCGACAAATTTAAACTCGTCAAATTTCACAAAAAATTTCATTTCAAAATCTTTGACGATTCAAATTTTACTTTAATTTCTTAATTTTGAAATTTTAGCAAGAAAATCTTTATCTTTGCTCGCAAAAATCAAAAGAAAGAAGCAATTATTGAGTTTTTTTTCGTTTTTTATTAAGCAAACCTCGAGAAAGAAAAACTTTTTATTTTTTGAAATATTTTTAATCCGAGCTGAAAAGTGGCAACAAAATTTTTCGAAAAATACCTGCATTGTCGATGCAAAAATGAAAAGTGAACATTGTGAAAACCGAAGCAGAATATAAACGAAAGAAGAGAAGTTTTTTTATCAGAGATTCCCTTTTTGTCCCGTTATCTTTCGTTATCAAATGAAAATTTAGACTAAATTTTTAGTTTTTTTTTCTCTTCTAAATATTTGCCTTTCCAAGTCCTAACTTTTCCAGTCCTTTTATCCTAAATTCCACCAAAATATCTCCCTTTTACTTTTCACTTCTCAATTTAAAAGAAATCGAACGTTTTAGGAATTTTTTTATGAAACACACAAGTCTTGAGTAGTTTTCCAGGTATTTAAAAAAAATCCCGGATTTTGAACAAGTCGTCATACTTTGAAAGCCTATAACTTTATCCAGAGATTATATTTTGCTAACTTTTTTATAGATTGTAAAGAGGACATTTCAGGCTTTCAAATAACATGTAATAGAGCTTATTTTGATTTTTCAGTCCCATACAAACAGGCGACACGACACCCGAGTCGGATTGGCCACATTTGCTCAGAGTTGGTTCTGATTTTCTTGGACTGGATTATCGAATCCAGTTCAATGCGGTATTATTTGAAAGCCTAAAATCTCGCCTTTATAATGATATAAAAGTTGACAAAAATATAAACTCTGGACAAAGTTATAAGCCTTCAAAGTGTGACGATTCGTTGAAAATCCGGGATTTTTTCGAAATACCCAGAAACCACGCAAAAGTCAAATTTTCAACAGGACACTCAACAGGACGAGTGAAATTATGCTTTGTTTCAAAGAAGATGAATGAATTGGATTATCGGCTCGTCTTGGAACGCAGAATTTTGCTTTTTTGTGCAGAAATCGCAACAAACGTTTGATTTTTATGCAGGAAAAAGCTCTGATTCATAGATTTTTGCAGGAAAAAGCTCCGATTCATAGATTCTTTGGCTCCGATTCTCGTCGCAAACAGGAATTCCAATGCAGAGGGCAATTTGCATTTTTAAAAACAGTTTATTCAACAATTCAATCAAAATTCGAAATTATAGCATCTTTAGCTCTTTTCCATTCGAATAATTCGCACTTTTTTCTCCTTTTTCTTTCAATTTTTCTGTGTAAACGATGAGTTGATTTTTCTTTGTGAGAATAGCTCTCATCTTTTTCAAATCTACTCCATCTGGCAATTGATGAGTTTCAGAAAAAGCGTTCTCATTGACCACTTTGCCTAAAATTCGTTTTTCTTTAAAAGCAAAAAAATTTGCCGCCTCCGGGGATCGAACCAGCACCCTCCGCCTTGGAACCAAGCTCGCTAGCCACTAGGCTATAAAAACTTTAGCATATTGTTCTAAACTAAATATTTCTAAGTACACTGTGACATCCAGATCCCAAGAATAACATTTTATTTAAGCTGAATTGCATTGTTTTTGGCAAGAAAATGTCTTTGATCGAGATCCACCCATAATATGAAGCTAGAATATAAATTGAGCTAAAATCAAATGTTCTTCTTTTAAGCTGGATATCACAGTAGCTATTTAGATATTTAAATGTCTCAAAATATCTGGCTGGGTATTTAGTGCTTTTCAAGATCGGCTCACTTTCAATTTCCTTTTCCGAATCGGTAAATCTCCGATAATCTTGATCGTTCTCGTTCTTGCGATAATCTTGAAATGCTCAGCTTTCAGCTCTTTAGGCACATCGAAGCTCAAATGGAAACGAGAAGCATTTTCCATAATAATTTCCATTTTTAAATCGTTTTTCAATAAATTAGCATTCTTTTCTGAAAGATAATATTCATTTTTTAAATTTAAAATCGAATTTTCATACCAATTGCTTCAAAAGATTTGGGAGTTTTTGGTAAACGAATCTGCAAAGATTTTTCGGCAGTTTGCCGGAAACGAGCCATCAGAATGTTTGAAAAATTCGTCTTTTTTGCTTTTATTTCACAAAATTCTCCTCTTTTCAAAGCCCGAAACGAAATTATTTACGAGCTTTCGTGAATACAAAATGAACACAAAGAAAATGCGTTATGAAATGCTCGAGAAATGCTCGAGAAATGACTCATTTGAAGTAACACTACTTCAACAAAATTGTCGTCAAATTTTGTAGCCTTCTTAGAATGCCAAATGGACAACAAAATGAATCAAAAAAAACAAATCTGTTTAGAATCTGTTTTGTAGACTTACTTATAAAAACATAAAGAAAATTAGGGTCAAAGTTCAGACAACTGTCTACCCTAGGTTACCCCATACTTAGGTTACCCCATACTTAGGTTACCCCATACCTAGGTTACCCCATACCTAGGTTACCCCATCACCTAGGTTACCCCCATAAATAAATGAAATGAAAAATAGAAACAAATAAATGAAACAAGAATCAAACAAGAGACAAACAAATGAAAAAAGAAGAAATGAACAAATATAATATATAGCGGGGTTACCGGTGATTTATTTGCACACACAATCACAATTTACACATTAAGACCTAGGGGAATATTCTATCGTTTGTGAGGATGGGACGATGTAGGAGACGATGTAGGGGAGACGATGTAGGAGACGATGTAGGAGACGATGTAGGAGACGATGTAGGAGGAGAAGGCTACCCGCTTTATATGAGCTTGCGCCTTAGGCAAGTCTACCCATATGGATCCCTGATTATCCCAATCCCTGGATCTCTGGTTATCCTAATCCCTGGATCCCTGGTTATCCAGGGGAAGGGGCCTAGTATTAGGTTGTCCCATAAAAACCCAGAGATTTTGAATTTCATTTATATTCAGCACATAGAAACAACGAAGAATCAGAATCAAAATTTTGTTTGGTGTTGAAATTTGCCTGGGTTTGAGAAGTTCCCAGAAAAGGACGCCTGTTGAACACCAGTCGACACACAAGATTCGCTTCTTTTCGTGGATCTTCCATTTTGGCACCATTTTCCTACTTGCCCTTTCTTCAACCACTGCCGGTTGTCACACTCGACCATCGTAGAAAATCCACGTTTGATCACGAGTTATGATGTTTGAAAGAGGAAGCCGACCATGCCGATATTCGCTCCACTTCGCATATTCGAAGTGGTGGCATATCCGCTTTCTTTTGGCTTGGATTGTTGCCGACAATTCGTATGGGATTTGACGTTGTTTTCTCCAATTTCTTCCCACTTTTCGCAGCCATCGCCACACAGTCATTCGTCCACAGTAACGTCCAGCCAATTTTCGGGTTGATCCATCGGGATTTTGCAGGAATCGGCACCTCAGAATCGATCGATCCCCTTTCCGGGGTCCGGCCGCTTCCCTCTCTTCCGTTTGATCTTCGTGTTGCCCGTCCTGAATTTGTGAAACCATTCCTGTGCAGTACTCGTTCCAACAAGTTTGTTCCCGCCAAATTGATTGATTTCTCGTGCTGCTTTTGCCCGCTGAAATCCCTCTTGAAAATCGTTGAAGCAGTAGGGCGTGGATTTCTTCTCCGAGTGGGCTTCATTCCGTCGACTACAACTCACTTTTCGTGTCGGTCCCTAAAATAAGATATTAATGCAAGGAAGAAGAAAGTTTTAGCATAAAAGAAAAAAAGAAAAATACAAAACGTAGTGTTGTAAGCGAGTAGTGATCAAAACAGAAAAACCTCTGGGTTTTTATGGGACAACCTAATAGGACCGGTCTTGGGAACCAAAGTTCACCATATAGGATTGTACCTACAGTAGTCGGTTCGGGAAAGATATCCCTGACTCATCTGCTGAATTCGAACCAGAGACTAACCGCGATCAACGTTGCTTAACTTAGCGGATCTGACGGAATACCGTGTTTTAACGTGGCGAGGCCGTAGCTAAGCTGTATATGCTAGCCCTCGTCTGACAATATTAATGCAAAGTAGCTGCAAAATGCTAGAAGTTGCTTACCAAAGAAAAGGCCATAATTCTGAATAATGTTTTTAAATTCTATTCGAGGAGTTATTAATAAGTAATTTGTTGTTGTTAATTTTGTTTTCCTATTTCATTGTTGCGTTCGAATAAATACCTACCGTAAATACTGTAATAGTACTTGGCCCTCGTACAGCCGCGTAGTACCATAAAGTTTTTAGTATTTCATTGTTTTTCAAAGCGCCCATTACTCTCAAAAAGAAATGCGTTTTGGTGTATCAAAAAATAGCCCTGAATTTCAGCTATTCCTATCCAAAAAATTTGCAAATTGAAATTTCAGGCAAAATAACGCTTTAGGTACACTTTAAATACATCTAGATCTAGTGCAAATGCTGAAGCTCTTCAACGCTATCCAAAGGAGATCCAAGGTTGGGTATTTAGTTGAAATTGTTGCATTTCCGGTCGTGTTCCGACCGGAGTTCAATTTCCCGGCTTTCTTGCTGCGTTGCTTTCCCCTTTCAGTCGCTTTGAGCAAAGCGGCGGAGAGACGCCCGAGCGCGATGTTGTCATTGAGCACCATTTGCCCCAGCACATATCTTAGTCTTTTCCATTCGGTGCAACGAGGCCGCCGCATTGGCGAAAAGCTGGAAAATTGGAAGGGTACGATACCAAAGCGCGCATTGTAGCATAAACCAGTGTCGAGAAAAACTCGTTCAAAGCTAGAGCTACACAACACTCCGCACCGTCATTATGGTATGGTACTATTAAAGTATTTCCCATTGTCTAGCTTTGAACGCGTTTTCTCGACACTGGTTTGTTTCGTGCTTTCGTTTTGGTATCAAAAATAACCCTAATTTCAGCTATTTTTTGACACCCAAACGAGCATTGTAGCATAAAGCAGTGTCGAGAAAAACTCGTTCAAAGCTAGAGCTACGCAGCACTCCGCACCGTCATTATGAGGGTGGGGTACTATTACAGTATTTACTGCTGACCCGATTCGGCCGCCAAAACTCAAAAATGGACATTTCTATTTTGTTGTCAAATTTTATCGCCTCTTAGAATGCCAAAAAATTTCGAAATAAAATGAATAAAAGAACAAATGAAACAATAAACAAACAAGTAACAAACAAGTAACAAACAATAAACAAACAAAAACAAACAAATTCTGAATAAAATGTTTTTA